AAACCCTAAACTCTACACCCGAAACCTAAAACAATCCACCGACCGGAGGAGAAGACCTAGATCCTGCATCCCATCGACATTGAGGGCTTCAGGGCTCCGGGGATTCAAGGCGTCTGGCTCCAGGGCTTCAAAACCCAGGGAATTTCGAGAGCTCTACGATGGTGCGCAGGTTTATGGGGAGTTTTCTCTTTTTGGTGTGTAAGTAGGGCTATAGTCCCCGCTCCCCACCACCTAATCTCAGCGCTGACCTAGCTAACCGAGAGCTTGCACCCGAACTCCGAACCCCCGAAGCGCAGGCATGCCACACTCATAGTTCAAGGCTGCCGCATGCGCAAGCAACGCCTCGGGGCAATGAAACAGATGAATGTGGAAGTCGAGCCTGGGGTTGGTGGCTCGTCTGCAGCAATGAACCCCGCGTTTGGGGTCCCTCAACACAGGGATCCTCGTGCAAAAAGGTCCAGTAAACTTAATGGACTACGGATAAGGGTACTATAATGGGTATTGTAAGATTACGGACAAGCATCATAAGAGTACTACACAGTTGCTGCGAGAGCAGAATGCAGAAATGTCGACCGATGGTCAAGGGAGTAAAGCTGCAGAGTTCAGGCCTGTTTGGGCGTGAAGGTCCACTTCGCAAACATCTCCTGCCCGGAATGCAGGGTCGAAAATTCCACCGTGACGGCTAGAACTTGCCATTGTGGACGGCTCGGGTAGGAGCAGGATCTTATCAAACAAAACATAGATGTGAGTCGAAGCCATGGCAAGTGATCTATCCATTCGACATTTCTTAAGAGCTTATCCTCTCTCGCAATCACACTGGCGTCCTCGATGTGCAGCTTCTTTGCATTCTCGTTCAGGGTCTTGTAAAGCGGTGAGCCAACCTCGCATCTCTGATGTTACACGAGAAAACCCTCCTGTGCTTAGGATAAAGTATATCATACACGTACAACGACGAACGTCCCAACAATATCGCAGTAGCGACAAAGTGCAAACAAACAGCAACCCTTTGGAACACTCTACAGATGTTGCAATGACATAGAACATGCCCTACCAAAATACCAAGGTAGCACCCCTTCTACTTGCAATAATTCATCAAATGAACAAATATAAAAAAAAAAAACATATGTGTGTGCGTGTAGAAACAGCGAGATGAAGATGCTGATGGTGACGATGATGATAGTTAGTAACGACGACGATGCGGAAGAAGATGCCGATGGTGATGGTGAAGGTGGCGGATGGTGCGGATGGTGCGGATGGTGATGATGGTGATGATGGTG